ATTGTAATTTATATGTATTGAAGCATACTAGTAGGATAAAAGATCAACTAATTTTCACTCCAATCGTAAAAAAAATAACTAATTTCTACTCCAATCTAATCAACATATATGGATTGACATGGAGTGTATCCAAACAAACCCCGGGATAAAAAATCCCCTCGAGAAAAACTACGCCTCGGATTGGAACATCATGGGCAGGGGCGGATCAAGGGGGGCTGCCAGGGCTACAGCCCCAGTAAGCCAAATTTCTTGATTAAACTATGGTTAGTTAGCCTCAAATCATCATTAATTTCCAACTTTAGCTCTAAATCTTTATTATTTTAGCCCATTTTTCCTATCATGCATCCGCCACTTATCATGGGCTATAATTCATTTTCACTGGACTGGCGCGTATCGTCGATCTACAGCATGCATGTGCCTATATCATCCGCGGTGTGACTTGCGTCGTCGTAGTACTAGCGATCGAAGCAGCAACGTGCTAAAATCATTGCCGCTACTGGAACGTGCCTCTCCATGCATCCATGCACGTATCTGACGGGTCCGGCGTCGGCGTGTCGGCGAGGTCGTGACGCCATTAAATCCGGCGGCGGCGGCGTTGGAGGATGGGAGCGAGAGGCCATCTCGGTGGACAACGTAACGGGGCACCATCATCACGCACAACGCCATGCATGAACACGGACGGCACGGACGGGACGGAGTGGTCCAGGGAAGAGAGAGAGAAAGGGATCAACGTCCGTCCTCGTCGCAGGACAGGTAAACTGGTGGGAGCTTCGCTTTTCCTCTCCCCTCACCGGCCGGCGACGCAGGTGGGCCCTGTTGCATCAACCGCGGCCTGCGGCCAGGCCCAAATTTGTAGCAGTTCGTCCGAACTGGGTAGCGTGGAGGAGAGGATTCCGATGCAGAAACATGAAAAGAAAAGCAAAGGAAAAAGAAAAGGCAAAGCGAGCTGAATCTGTGATCCGGCGAAAGAAATCCCAGTCGTCTCTCTCTCTCTCTCTCTCTCATTCACCTAATCACCCATCCTTATTAAAGCAGAGATCCCAGGGAGATGGAGCTGGTCCATGGAGTAGCATCAATCAGATAGTCACACAGTCGCAACTCACAAGCGAGACTGCGAGAGAGTGTACGAGTCCGAAAGAGAGAGAAGGAGATGGGGCGAGATTCTCGTACGTCCCACAAAGGAAAAGGCAAATCGGGGCGAGACAGTGAGAGAGTGCCTCCCCCTTCACGGAATCACGGTCTTTCCATGATCCACCCACTTCATACACGAGATACATACAATACTTTGTTTGATAAATCGCATCATTTAAAATAGAATCGTCCACCAGTGTTTATACCCCCTTTAACACAGAAATTTCATAGGAATCACACAAAACATTCATAGAAATCAGCTTATTTTCACGAGAAAAAAAAGGAAACGAGAAAAAAATTTCTCCAATCCAAAACGGGGCCCAGGAGATGAGGTCGTCCCATGAATTATTTTAGATGGGACCAACCTATTTCTTGTGATTAGATTAGACTAAATCAAATGTTCGTACAAGGTGAACTAGCTAGCTAGTGTGATAGGTTGACCCATTTATATTTTCCAAGGCAAACCATAAAAATATATGAGCGGTGAGAAAATAACCAATTGATCTATTTCTCACCATGCCCTGTCACAAGGATTAATCCTAACTAGTACAAATCATCGCTCTATTATGGGATTTCGGCACCACAGAGGCCTAATCAGATGTAATGTACTCCATTCATTTCAAATTATAAGACGTTTTGGCTTTTCTAGATTTATAGCTTTTGTTATGCACTTAAATATGCATTATGTCTAAATACATAGCAAAAGTAATGAATCTAAAAAAACCAAAACGTCTTATAATTTGGAACGGATGGAGTATATAGGTAGACATTGGTTGCCTAACTAATTTCTATCTTGGCTATGATTCAGTCCTAGCCCAAGTTGGATCGTCCTAGGACGGTCTTCATAGATCAAGTTGTTTGGTTTCTCCACTAAGTTTAGTTCAGCCGTGTTGGATCGTGTTTGTTTTTCATGGCCCCACAGGTGGTTATGCTATTGCAAGGTCATTTGGTGCTCCTAGGCCCGCCACCATGCATGAAACCGAGCTAGCCCATTGGCTCTTTGGGGGCGACAAATTTAAGTGCCCCCCGGAGAATTAATTTTTGGTTGTATGGCGACCTTGCTAACACCCCTAGTCAGGTATTCAAACACCGCAAGGGTTGTCTAAGGAGGCCGTTTGCGGGTTAGTTGAGCAACCAATCACTACCATAGGCTCTTATTAGATTCGTTCTTAGACCACGATGACGTTAATGGTAGTACAATTGTATACATGGTTTCTTACGGCTCTAATCAATGCAACACCATTGTTCACATGAACTTATTTTTCTCTCAACGTGAAATACGCTATGAGCCGCTGATGCTGATTTCATCAGCTCTAGCTCCTGGAGGCTATAGTACTAGAGCCAAAGGGCCTAGGATCCCCTGCCAAAGCGAGCTCTAACTAATCTCTCAACCGCCAAGGAACATAAGCTCGATGGTAAACATTTTGGTACAACGAACCGCAAATCTGAGGAGGGCTTTAATGCAAAAGTGAAGAAAAGAAAGAGGAATAAGAAAAGCGAAAGGAGTAGGCAGTCGGCTGTTGACCAGAATCGAAGGAAAGAAGCCAAAATGCGGATATATCTGCTCTGTGGAGCCGGAGGATCCAGCTAGCCCGGCCCGGACCCATCCCCATATTTTTTTTCATAAGGAAAGCTTTATTAATTTCAATATCGTTACATCGAGACGATACTAAGTCCTTGAAACACTTCCGACCTTTGTATAATAAGAATACAAACAGTCTCACGAAAAATCTTAAAAGCAGAAAGACACAATTATAACACTCAATCAAAAACTAGACTGTCACACATATACCGGATAAAAAACTCCTTACTCACCCGCGTCAAATGCTAAGACGCTGCTACAACTAAATCTTGTGAAGTTGCTCCATGTAAAAGCTAGATTTGTCGTACTGCCCTCTTGTGTCAGCATAATATTCAGGACACCCACGGTTAGCGAGGTAGTACGGAGTAGTAGCACTTTACGCAGTTTGGAGCCGCTTTTACTCAGGACGTGCCACTTCGTCGTAACGTGTGTGCGCGTGGCATACTTCGGCTTTCTTCTAGCCGAATACAGTAGTAGAAGTACGTAGATCGACCGTGCTCGGCTGTGTTTATAAGGACTCGTTTAGAGAAAATTTTAGTTTGACTGCACACGTCTATAAAAGATTGCTTCAATTAGTTATTCTTTTTACCGACATTTAATGCTCGGCTGTGTTTATGACGGAAATCTTAAATTTTTTTTGGCAGACGGATCTAAACAGAGCCTAAGTCATATTGATGAAGCTTCTTAGTTTATAAGTCTAGCTGACGGATGTTGAGATTGATGAGCTTCTTAGTATAATAGCCATTTTGGTTCCTCAACTTGAGACTCGATTTCATCTCTAAACTTTCAAAATGGCTGTTTAGGTCCTCTAAACTTATAATAGCCATTTTGCTCAATTTTTTCTATAAACTATCAAAATGCATTTAACTTTTATTTTCAACTCGATTTTGTGTATTCAAAAAGAAAACTTTATATTTTAGGCATAATTTCATCCATAAATTATCAACAATATATCCATATATTCTTAAAGAATAAATAGTGTTCGATGCAATTGTAATTGCTCTCATAAATATAATTTAGTTGGATATATATAAATGATACCATTATAAAGTAATACTAAAAATAACAACTTCAAATTATTAAGAGCCACGAAAGAGTTTTTGGATGAATATTATTTTTCTATCTTCAATCGCGGTGGTGTTGGAGCTAACCAGGTGCAACAGTATAACATTCCACGTAGAACATAAACAAAGTTGAGTTGAAAATAAAAGTTTAAAGAACAAAATACACTTTGATAGTTTATAAATGAAATTGAGCTCCAAATGCAAAGTTTGAGGACTAAAACGATCATCATCATAGTTCTAGGATGAAATTGAACCTAAAAGTAGAGTTTGAGGCCTAAAACGGTCGTTTTGAAGGTTCAGGGACGAAACTGAGCCTCGAGTAATAGTTGAGGACCAAAATGGTTGTTATGCCTTCTTAATTTGCGAAATTGTTTTTTCTTATGTAGAACATTTTCAGAATACGGTGCCGCCGTGCTAGACGTGAAGCTTAGCTGTTCGGCTAATGTTTTTTACGCCTGATAAGCGGCTAATATTGTTTTATTTTGAGAGAAAAATATCTATACCATGACTGATAAGCTGGGTTAATAAGTTCGAGCGAACGTGACATTGTATTGTACTGTGTAGGGATTTTAGCTCCTCTTCAGATCAAGAAGCCAACATAGACACCGCAGAAGCTAGAGCCGAAGCAAAAATAACCAAATCGTTGTATGGTCTCCGTACATCTGTGTATCGTGAAAATGGCTTCGGCTTCTCTTCAACCGTCCCTAAAGCGCTCCTCCCGTTCTGTTGGTTGATATGGCTTTGGCTCTTCGCTGTTGCCAAGCAAAACCAAATATGTGATCTATATTTAGGTCCCATTAGAGAGACCTCCTCATAAAACGGCTTTGGTTTTTAGGAAAAAATATTATGCACGATAGCAAACTGGTGCGTGATCGTTGAAGTAGTAAATTTTTTATGAATCTATCTCTCCTCTCCCTCGCTCAGTGAGATATTACTCCTAATTTCTAAAAATAAAAAGATATCAATTTCTCGCCGCTTGACCCAACCCACCTCGGCCCGGCCGGCCCGGCCTGTCCACCGCCGGTCGCCGTCCGTCACCCCTAGCCCCTTTCTTCTACCCCCACCTCAGCAACAGTAGCACGCTTCCCCGCTTCCACTCTCCCACTCCACACCGCACCAGACGGCAGACCCTGAGCTCCTCTGCCAAGCTCCGAGCCCGAGAAAACCGCGAGAATCCCAAGTTGCCCGGCCAACAACTCCCGCCTCAGACCTCCGTGCAGGCAATGCCGGTCCAGGATCCCTCCTCCTCGCCATCCGCCGCAGGCGGCGGCGTGCGGGCCAAGCGCACGTCGTCGGGGCCGATCCGGCCGGCTGACTACGCGCACAGCCCCACGCACCACTGCGTCGCGCTGCGGGATGCCGCGGGGCTGCAAGCCATCCTCGCAGGCCTCCCGCCGCTCGCGCACCCGTCCCGCGTTCTCACCGCCGCCGACGCCGCCCGGGAGGCCCGTCTCGCGTCCTCCGTCGCCGCCGCGCTCGACCGCCGCGACGTCCCGGGCGGGGACACCGCGCTGCACCTCGCGGTCCGGCTTCGGCTGCCCTCCCTGGCTTCCGCGCTCGCCGCAGCCGGGGCGGACCCCACGCTGCAGAACCACGCCGGGTGGACCCCGCTCCAGGAGGCCCTCTGCCTCGGGTGCAGGGAGATTGCCGCCTGCCTCCTCCGCGCGCACCGCCTCGCCGCCTGGGCAAAGCTCCGGCGCCGGGCGCCCGCCCTCTCCGCCGCGCTGCGCCGGGTCCAGGATTTCTACCTCGAGGTGGACTTCCACTTCGAGAGCTCCGTCGTGCCGCTGCTCTCGCGCGCCGCGCCCTCCGACACCTACCGCATTTGGAAGCGCGGGGCGGACCTTCGCGCGGACACCACGCTCGCCGGCTTCGATGGCCTCCGCATCCGCCGCGCAGACCACTCGTTCCTCTTCTTCGGCGAGGAGACCAGTGCCGGCGGCCGCCGCCTGCCTCCGGGTTCTCTGCTCGTGCTCCACCGCGGCCGGCGCGAGGTGCACGACGCTTTCGCGGCGGCCGCGGCCGCGGGCGACGAGGACGCAGCCACCTCCGATGCGGCCGCCTACCGCCCGGGGCTCAACATCACCTCCGCGAGGCTCGTGCCGAGGACCACCTGGCTGCGGAAGGAGAAGACGGAGAACGTCGGCGAGTGGAAGGCGCGGGTGTTCGACGTCCACAACGTCGTCTTCTCCTTCCGCACCCTCAAGGCCGCGAGTGCCGGCCGCAAGGATTTCACCTTCGAGCTCGCCGGAGAAGAGGACGGCGACGAAGACGACGACGAGTTCCTGCCACTGGAGATCCGGGACGACGACGAGGACGGCGACTTCCTTGTCGCTGACATCCCGCCGCCCACAGCGCGGCGCAGCTGCTACGTTCCCGGCCGGCGCAGCGTGGCGGGGCCGCCTTCGCACTTGGGGACCCCGCAGAGGCGGAGGAACAGCGTGGACGTGCCGCGGCGACTGCCGGCGTGCGCGTCGGTCGGGCGCGGCGAGGACGGCATCTTCGGCCGGCACCCAGGGACGACGACGACGGGTGGAGCCAAGTGGAAGGAGGAGGAGACGGTGAAGACGCTGCGGCCGTCGGTGTGGCTCACGGAGGACTTCCCCCTGAGGGTCGACGAATTCCTGCCGCTGCTGGACATCCTGGCCAGCCGCGTGCGCGCCGTGCGCCGGCTCCGCGAACTGCTCACCACCAAGTTCCCACCAGGGACCTTCCCGGTGAAGGTAACGCAGCTCTCCTGCTCAGTAAGAAGTCACAAAATTGCATATATTTCTTCGTTTCAGGATTCAGTGGCTGATGAATTCTGCAATCATTCATCCTTCTTGGTAAACGAATTGTTTCATCGTTCTCGGTTTTTGTAATGGTGAACCACCAGCTCAACAGATCATCTCTGATCAGGACAAAGGTGTTACTCATATGCTTGCAGATTCTTGTCTGTTGATCAGGTTGTTTTATGGCAACAGATCCTTTTACGGGCAGCAATAGACCCAGGAAGCTGAGTCAGAATTATGAGATGTACTGGCCTGCAACCTGTGGAGAGTGCTATCCGGGCAAAGGAAAAAAAAAACTGTTAGAGACTGATAGTTTCAACGGTTCTTCACTGTTTAGTTTATTGCAGAACAGTACAGGCACTTAGGACATAGATTTAAGGGAATTTACTCAGCGCTGGTACTCACCTGCATAGCATACTGTCTTGTTTGTGAATGAGATGGAATTTCTATGACAAATGAAAGCTGATGGGAATAACTAAGCCTCCGGTGTTATAGAAAGTAAAAATTGGTTAGACATACAGCTTGGAGCACTTGTCGAAGTTTGCTCTATGTTTCTCAGAGGCGACACTTCACTGAAGTGCAGACACCATCACTTGATGAAATATAGCTGCCTGTGCACACCTTTTGCTGCTTCTTGGCACAGTAAATTTATATCATGTTCTGAAGGCTGTTCTTGGAATTATCTTGTTGCACATAGCTCCTTTAGGTACTCCTAAATACAATGCAGCTTTGCATTCAGCTCATTGATCATGTTCGCCATTCATGTAGGTTGCAATCCCTGTTGTGCCAACAGTGAGGGTGGTTATCACTTTCACCAAGTTCGTCCCCCTCGTGGAGCCAGAGGAGTTCTTCACTCCGATGTCGAGCCCCAGCCTCTTGGTGAGCCCAGGGCCAGGAAGCATCATGGTGAAGCCTGACACCCACAAGAGCTCGTACCTGAGGTGGGGCTCGAAGAACTCGAGACCAAAGGCCGTGAACCTGTCACAAGTCGCCGACAACGCCGACCCCTTCACGGTGCCGAGTGACTACACCTGGGTGAACAGCCTTGGTTCCAAGAACCATGACAAGAAGTCTTCCAAGTCCAAGAAGGGCAAGACCAAAGAGACCTGAACAATTGATCCAATCCAGTAGTGTATTGACTCAGCGAAAACTTATGCATAAGCCGTCATCTATGCATAAGCCGTCAGTAATTACCAAGTGCTTGGGACATGCCTCGACATTAGGGCTTGCTCAGCAACGATAAGCACAGCGATTTAGCTGCCGGAGACAAGGGTTAGAGAGTGTTAAACTAGGGCTTCATTTCACTGATTGTTCAGCAATGTGTTGTAAAACTTGGCATCACCAAAATGCAAGAATTCCTCTGCTAGTTCTGGCACATACATTGTCAGTTGTATCTCCCTGGTTTCTGCAAAAGGCTTGTGTATGGAAGAGCAAGGCACTGGAACAGTTCTGAAGACTGGCTGAAACTATCTGCAGTGGGTGCATTTTTGTGTATACTGTGCCGCTTGAGATGGATGATTCCCTTGTGCATCTGGAAGTACAAAGAACGTAGTACTATGAGATATTTGACCATGAAAGCGAGGAGGTGGATGGAATGGAAGGGTGTGTAATGTTGCTGGGATCGATGAATCGATAGTTCCTTTTGCTTGTGCAGGTCCACTGGCCCAGGCATGATGCGAGTGCCAGTGTTGCGCCTGCTAAAGATATTTGCATGCAAATGAAATCCCTGTGTTTCGTGTCCGCGCTTTGCAGGACAGAATCATCGGCCTACATGCCGTAGGCTTTACCGGGCATGGTGGCCACAAACATTCCTTCCTGTCAAAAATGTACTCCGAGATCGTTGATCGTGAGAATTAAGCGCGTGTTTAGTTACACGAATTTGGAATTTGGGACTACCGTATGTTCGTTTTTATTTAGTAATTAGTATTTAAACATGGACTAATTAGACTCAAAACGTTCGTCTCGTAATTTCCTACCAAACTGTACAATTAGTTTTTTTTCGTCTACATTTAATGCTCCATGCATAGGCCGTAAATATTCGATGTGACAGGTACTGTAGCACTTTTTGGGATTTTGGGGTGGAACTAAACAAGGGCTAAAACAAAAGAGAGAGAACCGGAGGGGGCAATGGGCCTGTCATTTGGGTGGTCGGGTTTTGGTTTAATTTGGTGGTCTTGGTTTTTTGTGAGAAGAAAATATGTTATATTTGCTGGTTTGGTTTAAATTTGGGCTGAAACCAACAAAGCTGCAATTGAATAGAGAGAAAAGAGAAACCGGGGGAGAATAGGGATAAAAAAAAAACCTAGAAGTAGCATGGGGGAGGGGGAAAACTGAAGCAGCGGGTGGGCGAGCGATTAAAGCCTGTTCGTTTGGTTGTGGCTTGTCGTAAACGATCGTAAATTTTCAGCCGAAACAGTATTTTTCTCTCACACAAACCAGCCAGTAGTACTTCTTCACGAACCAGCAACGAAACGAACCAGCCAACCGAACAGGCTGTAGGGCTAGCCTGCCCATCGGATTGGATGGCGATACAAATGGATGTTTGGTTTCGGGAATCGCGGAGTGATGCATCATGAGTCTATTTTTCAAATTTAGTGAAAATTCTTCATACTATACTAATTATTAACTTCTAAGAAATACGGTGGCAACTCATTCTATTCCACAGATCCAAAAAAAAACTAGAGAATGAGATGATGATGATGGGGCTACTTCATTCCACAAACCAAACATCTCCAAAATTCACGTTTGGTGCTACTTCTCACGTCGCTCCGCGAGCCACTTCAGCATATGCCACTAAATAGGCTCCCAGGTAACAAGTCCATGCACAGAGTCTGGCAAAACTGTTGATTGGAGCTAGATTGCCACACATGAGTAAAAAAAATAAAGCTTCACCTAGCTCCCTCTCGCTCCAATGGCCCCGCCCCACCATCCTTGCACATAGAGGAGCCGCAGAGGAACTGCCGCCGACCACCCCTTCCTCGCATGCTGCCTCCGGCGCTGGCACTTGCGCTCCGCCCTACCGTCAGTGGGTGAGGGGAGCCACCAAAGGATTAGGCTTGGCGCAAGTGAAGGATGGGTCGACCGAGGAGGAGTTCGGAGCCACTGAAGGAGTGTCAGTGCCCCAGTGCAGCGATCGAGGCAACAACATTGGTGAGAAAGATGCAAGGGAGGTGAGAGAGATACGAAGCCATGAGTCAAAACGTGTCGGTGTTTTGTAAACCGGACTAGTAAATTTATACGAATGTCGCGCTGCTCTAGGAAGACGATGATAGCATCCAAAAGACACGAGGATTTATACTGGTTTAGGTCGGAGCCCTACGTCCAGTCTCAGAGATGATCGAGTGCGTGTTACTCGCTTGAATGCTCTAAAGTTCTTACAACGGTGAAAGGTCCTAATGGCTAGAGGGGGGTGAATAGACTAATAAAAATTTCTACAACAACACTTAACAAAAGTGTTAGACAATTATGAGGCGAAGCAAGTGTTGCGCTAGCCTACTCCAAATACAATCCACCTACCACAATTCTAGTTTAGGTAGAGTCTATTCACACAATAGCTATGACACTACTCTATGTTAGTGTGCTCTCAAAGGCTAATTAAAGAGCCACACCAACCAAGCAAGCAAGCTCTCACAACTAACTACACTAAAGAGCTTGACAACTAGTTTACGGTAATATAAAGAGTATGTAAGAAGGTTATACCACCGTGTAGATGTATGAACCAATCAATCACAAGTGTGGATAAGAATGAAGACCAATCACCTCGGAATCAAATGATGAACACAATGATTTTTTACCGAGGTTCACTTGCTTGCCGGCAAGCTAGTCCTCGTTGTGGCGATTCACTCACTTGGAGGTTCACGCGCTAATTGGCATCACACGCCAAACCCTCGATAGGGTGCCGCACAACCAACACAAGATGAGGATCACACAAGTCACGAGCAATCCACTAGAGTACCTTTTGACGCTTCGCCGAAGAAAGGTCAAGAACCCCTCACAATCACCACGATCGGAGCCGAAGACAATCACCACCCTCCGCTCGATGATCCTCGCTGCTCCAAGCCGTCTAGCTGGCGGCAACCACCAAGAGTAACAAGCGAATCCCACAGCGAAACACGAACACCAAGTGCCTCTAGATGCAAACACTCAAGCAATGCACTTGGATCACTCCCAATCTCACTATGATGATGAATCAATGATGGAGATGAGTGTGAGGGCTTTGGCTAAGCTCACAATGTTGCTATGTCAATCCAAATGGCTAAGAGAGTGAGCTTGAGCCGGTCATGGGGCTTAAATAGAAGCCCCCACAAAATAGAGCCATTGTACACCTTCACTGGGCACAACGCGGGGTGACCGGACGCTCCGGTCCGATCGATCGGACGCTGGCCCTCAGTGTCCGGTCACGTGATTCACGCCACGTGTCCCCTGCTTCAAATATTGTTTGTCAGATTTCAATGGTCATCTGCTGACCGGACACGTCAGTTAGAAAGTGACCGGACGCTGGACCTTAGCGTCCGGTCGTTTCCAGTAAGGTTTCAAACACGATTTTTCCCGACCGGACGCGTCCGGTCATGCTTGACCGGACACAGCCAGCGTCCGGTCACACAATGTCTCCTCTGTACGCCCTACGTCAGCGTATGTCAGCACTAACCGGACGCACCCTACCAGCGTCCGGTCGCTGAGCAACCCAGCGTCCGATCATGAGACCGAAACGCACGCCCTCTGCTGCCACTGACCGAACGCGTCGGTCCAACCGAGACCAGTGTCCGATCACTTATAGTGACCTCCGTCTTTTCTCTGTCTAGAGCGCCGGTGGAGTTTCTTGCCCATGCACCTAAACTTCACCACCCTTGATCAAATATGCCAACCACCAAGTGTATCACCTTGTGCACATGTGTTAGCATATTTTCACAAATATTGTCAAGGGTGTTAGCACTCCACTAGATCCTAAATGCATATGCAATGAGTTAGAGCATCTAGTGGCACTTTGATAACCGCATTCCGATACGAGTTTCACCCCTCTTAATAGTACGGCTATCGATCCTAAATGTGATCACACTCACTAAGTGTCTTGATCACCAAAACAAAATGGATCCTACAATTTATACCTTTGCCTTGAGCCTTTTGTTTTTCTCTTTCTTCTTTCCAAGTCCGAGCACTTGATCATCACCATGGCATCACCATCATCATGTTATGATCTTCATTTGCTTCACCACTTGGAGTGTGCTACCTATATCATGATCACTTGATAAACTAGGTTAGCACTTATGGTTTCATCAATTCACCAAAACCAAACTAGAGCTTTCAATCTCCCCCTTTTTGGTAATTGATGACAACCCTTATACAAAGATATGAATTAAAATTCAATTGAATTCATGTTGCTTGTCCAAGCATATTTACCATGTGTAAAAGGATATGGACAAGTTTCATGAATCCCATATGGTAGCAATTGCTCCCCCTACATATGTGCTAAGAGTTTGAATTGTAGCTGCACATATGCTTAGATAGGAAATATAGGAGACAATGTCTACCAAATGATGCTAAGGTATAAAAGATTGATCTTTGAAGAGTGATACCAATCGGAGTGCACCAATATACCATCCTTAGCACCATGGTTAGCTTGATACCACTTGGAAACAACACTTTGGAAATGAAATCATTAGATGTCCTATGCATGCTAATTTTTCAATTCATCATTCAAACCTACAACTAACATACACCACACAAGCATGGATATTTAAAATTTAAAACTTGTGCCATGCAAGCAAACATATGAAATACACATTCAAATGCACCATACAAGTTCATGAGCTTGCTCCCCCTACTTGTGTGCTCAAGATTTTAATTCAACCCTTTCCTTTGTCATATCTCTCCCCTATGTCATGTTCTCCCCCTTTGTTGTCTTTTCACCATCTTAGCACACTAATATCTTTTGTTTCTCTCTCATGTACTAATTTCTTTGTTATTTCTTCCCCTATCACTTATATCTTTGTTTCTCTCCTCCTTTGTCATCAATGACCATAAATGTTTAAAAGGTAGATAGGTTGAGACTATCAATGTCAATCAATGGGGTGAGGATTATTTTTTCAAATTTGGTTCAAACTAGAATATTT